GGCGCACCACTTCGCCACGTGATCGGCAGCGCGCCCGGAGTGATCCGGCTGCGGGCCAGGGTCTGGGAAGGGGGTGGTGGGTCGCCGTTTCATCAGAAGCCCCAGAGCGGGCGCCAGGGGGCAGGGGCAACTTCCTACAGGAGAGCGTCCCGTTAGAATGACAGGGCTTTTGCAAAAGTCTGACACCCGTGGCACAGAGCGCCCCAGATATGGAGGGTTTCACAGGTAGGTATACTTCAGAAGAAATTTCCTAACTTGAATCTGTTATAATCACTACCTAAATCTACAGGGCCTCCGTAATACATATTATGCACCTTGAGATCTATAGAAAATGATATTAGAAAAAGAAAAAAAATGATGACCTTAAAGAGTTTGAGTCACAGGCTCTTCCTTTCTTCAGTTTACATGTAACTTGATCTGAACTAGCCACGTTAGGCATAAGGCTACCAGTTTTCTAATTTTAATGACCAGTAAAGTTTTAGAAAAAAAATTAGAAATTGATATAGGATTGCCAACTTTTTAAACTGCCAAGAAAGACATGAAAATAAACCCTACCGTCTTCTGTTACTATTCTTTTATTTTTATTTTTAAAAGTACTCTTAAATAGCAATAACCACGACATGCAGGAAGGATGTAAAGGCCAGTCTTTCCCATTGGATATATTTAGCTTTCTGAAAACTCATTATGTTGAATATGGAATTTGGGAATTTCTGCTCTAAGGGATATAGGCTCAGCTTCCAATTTTACTAGGAATGCAAGCGTAAAACAGTAATCGGTGACAATAATCCAAAACAAGCCTTTAGCTCTGTAGAGAGCTTCCCCGGAGGGAGTTGTGGTGTCTGAAGAGTGATCATTAATCTTCTTCCTTCTTTTCCGATGGGCGGATCTGATAAGGGACCACCTGTGAAATCAGCTATTGGTAGGTGGTTGGCAAATAGCGCTTCTGTGCAATATTCCCTCTGCCAACTTTAAACCCTCTCTTGTTAGGTGATGAGTAGGTTGAAGATTGTTAAGCCAAGTACTAGCTAAGTTTCTCAGGTGTAGTGAGCATGCCGGAGGAGTAGGCAAAGATGAGGAGCCAACAGGTATTGCAAAACCTATGCAGGCAAAGGGTAATCCGAACCACACCGGGAAAGAGTTGGGACGAGTACAGCTTTGGAGCATTAGGGTTTGAAAGGATTTTTCTTACATAGATCTAGGAAACTGTGGTCAATAATTTCCCCTGTGGTTTAGATGACTATTTCATACCAGGAGAGAGGGGTTAAACTTAGTTGTGGCACACCACAGACTTAGTAGGTAGGAGGGTGGCATCTTTGCCATCAGCATAGAGCTGAGATGCAAGCTCAGAGGACGGCTTCAGCAGGAGACCCAGCAGTCCAAAGCTCCGGAACCTGAGAGCTGGACCCACCCTCAGACACGATCTTGCCTCACCCTCTCATTTTATGGCAACAAAGAGGGAAAGTGAAAATGGAAAATTTCAATGCTTAGTGCATCAGTCACACCAAGTTCTTTCTATTATATCTGGCATTGGGTTTCAGCTTTAATTTTATTTAATAACCCTTCTCCCCCAACCAAAAAAAAAAAAAAAAAAAAATCAAAAAAAAAACCGAAACCAGAAAACAGCAGTGGCTAAGCATAGCAAATTATTATTCTTCCATAAACTGTTCTTTTTCATGGCTATTAGTGGTAGC